GGGACACACCATCCTCTAGGGCTGGGCTTCTCCAAGCTGGGGACCCCAGGCTGTATATATCCTTCAAATCTGGACCAGGGGAGATGATTCTGAAATCCACTGAGCTTTAATTTCTTCATTTCTGAGGGGTGTGTGGCTGCTGAGCAGGATAAGTGCTCATTACCACAAGGACAGGCTGTGCAAGGAGAGAGTAAATCAGTGCAGCACACACTCAAGCACAGCAAACACAGCCCTTCTGTGCCTTCCCCCACTCCATTTATTACCTCCTTTTACCTTGTTTGTGTTTTTGTTTCAGAGGCTCAGCTGTCTTTTAATGGCTGGTGGTTATTTTCTGTAGTTGGAGGTGGGAAAAGCTGGTTTAGTGTTAGTTTCTCTTGCTTGGTAAAAACTTCAGTGTGGTTAAATCATCAGGAGAATCTAACACTGAATTTCCTGGCACTGTCAGGGGAGGTTGGAGAGCTGGGGTGGCTCTGCCAGTGCCAGGACACTCCAGATAGGGATGGAGTGTGGAAGAGGGAAGGCAAAATGCAGCAATAAGGGCATAAACCACTGTTGTCAGGCACTGCGGCACTTGAAATACAGGAGAAAGAAACCCAGACATTTTCCAGCTCCACGTTGCACAATGGCTTTATTGGGAATGCTTAAAAAAAAACCCAAACCAACAAAATGAGAACAGAGAAAACCAAACCAATGCACAGACCACCCTATCACATGCTCTACGCCAGGAACAAACTCAGAACTACTTCAGACACTGGATCTGCCGTGGTTGCTGTAGCTGTGCTGGGAGGCTGTAGGTGCCTGGGGTGAGGTGACACAGGAGCTGACCGTGCCCCGGGAGGGTGGCACTGGTGGGGGCAGTGCAGCTGCAATGCCCACGTGTGTCTTCCCATGCAGAGCCCTGTTGTTTGTCCACGCTGCCTCGTGCTGGAGGAGCTGCCTGTGCCTGCCCTGCAGCTCCCACAGTGCTGACAGCTGTGCCCAGGTGAACCTCCTGCCTTGCTGGGGCATCCACCCTCTCCCCGCACCCTTCAGCAACGAGAGTCCCTTCCAGCTCCCTCCTCCTTGTCTCCAACCCCCACCGCTCCCGGTGGGCTGGGTGGGGAAGAGGAGGGAAGGGGTGGGAGGCAGCAGGGTTAGTTCTGACCGAGGCAGTGCCTCTCCCCACCCAGCCCACCTGAGTTTCCAGCTGGTGCCGCTGCCACCGGCGCCTTCCTCCCGCCCCGCGCGCCGGCTCAGCACACCGAGCAGCTGTTGGTCTTGTTCATGGGTGGCCTGAGTGTCTGCTCCTTGGGCAGGGTCTCCCTCCTCTTGCAGAGCGCTGGGCTGAGCCTGCTGGGCAGGTTTGCTTGCTGCAGCAGCTCCCTGAAGACCTCCAGGACGTTCTCGTTGTCCTTGGCCGACGTCTCCACGAAGCGACTGTTCCAGTCCAGCTCCACCAGCGACAGCGCGTCCTCCGCCGGCACCTGCCGCTCGCCGCCGCTCTCTGCCTTGTTGCCAACCACCACGATGGGAGGGAACTTGTCCTCCTTCACCTCCAGGATCTCCTCCCGCAGGGTCTTGATGCTCTCGAAGGACTCGGCGTCATCTACAGCATAGACCAGGGCGAAGGCGTCGCTGTTCTGGATGGAGAGTTTCCTCATGGCTGGGAAGGAGTAGCTGCCACTGGTGTCCAGGATTTCCACCTTGACCGTGGCCCCACACACCTCGTACTCCTTGCTGTGCAGCTCCTCCACCGTGCGCCGGTGCTTGGGCTCGAAGGTGTCCAGCAGGAAGCGACGGATCAGGGATGTCTTGCCCACGCCAGCAGCACCCAGGAACACCAACCGCACATGGTTCTTCTCCTTCACCACCAGGGACATGGCTGGCACAGAGGGCACAGGATGCTCTGCAGCTGCTGCTCACCCCACAGGTGTCCCTGCGTGGCTGCAGCTCTGGTATTTGTCTGTCTGCCTGTCCTCAGTGCAGCCAGAGGAGCTCGGTGCTCTGCAAACTTCTCCCAGCTGTTCTGCTGTGGACTCTACAATCCCCAAGTCCGGCTCATTTTTTTATCTCAGTTCCTCTCTGCCATGTGGCACGAGGCTGTCCAATCTCCGTGGGTTGTGGGTGCTGAAGGAGGGAGGAGAGCAGGGTGCTCCGGGCCAATCCGTGGAGTTCAGTCCTGGAAAGCCACTCCAGCCCTGGAGCTCTGTGCACTGCGTTGCACAAGGCTCTTACACCAGCAGTGCTGCTGGCAGTGCAGGGAGCAGCGTCACAGCCACCCGCACTGCTGTCCCCCCTGGAGATCACTGGGGGTTTCCTGGCACTCAGTGCTGATCCCCACCCATCAGGTGGCTCATGGCCAGACACATCAGGGCTTGGACAGTGCCACTCACACCGTTCCTTGCGTTTCCCTGGGGCTGGGAACTTGTTTGCAGACAGGATTGCAGCAAACGTGCCCAAGTCTTCGGTGAAGCGATGAAATATTTGACTGGAGGGGAAAAATAAACTCTCCCATCCGTCATAACCTCCACATTCATCTGTCAGTTAGCCTGTGACTTAATGAAATATTTAACCAGGAGGGGTAATAAAATCTCCCTGAAAACAATGCCCTGTGAGCTCCAGGAGCAGATTCCTGCAGCCCTGACCTGGGAGCAGTGCTGCTCTAGAGGTGATGGTTGCCCTGTTTGGGTGTGTTTCCTCCTCAATCACCTTCCATTTCATGCTTGAGTCGTTTCAGCAGCTGATCTATGCAAAGTGCAAGTACAAAGGGAACTTGCTCAAAAGTTAAAAGAAGTTTTTATCCTGAATTCGTGTGTGGGTGTATTTTTGTAGCTTTAATGCATTTTCCGTAGCCAAGTACCAGTTCCAGTGTTTAGTTCTGGCTGAATTTATTCTGTTGGTTTCAAAACCCTTTTCACAACAATTATTTCTGCCTCTTAATTCCTCAATTATTGTTGCATTTTAGCCATGTTAAGAGCTTTCCCTAACTGATCTTATTATCAGGAGAGCCAAGAGATTATAGCAGGGTAAGCAGAGTCCTGTCCTGGTCTCAGCCTGCCCTGGGAGAAGGGGAAGGTTGAGTTCCTAGCAGAATTGGCAATGGGATTGGTGTCCAGTACCCATAGCATCATGAAGCTCTTTCTGGGAAGACTTTCTGTGCCATGAGGAGAACTCAAAGGCAATGCCAAGGACTGAGCTGGAAGGAGCTGAGGATGTAGGTAGGACTTCAGCAGGCTAAAAACCAGGAGAAGAGGTGGATGAGCAGAGGGTGCTGGGTATAGGCAAGTGAACAAAGCAGTGATGGTGTTTTGGTGCCTGATGTGCCATCAGCATCAATGGAAATGATGAACTAAAGAGAGTGAGGAAGTAAGGCAGGACAAACAATCTTACCCCAGTTTTTGGAAGCTGTTTAAAGCCAACCCCTTTTGTTTTAATAGAAAAGGGTTTGGTTAGTGCTTTTCTGTGTGTATGTAGATAGACATGGTGACAGGGGTTTTGAAGAGAGGAGATGAAAGAGGTTTCCCATGGTGCCTCCCAGCTGGTTATAGCAGAACTCAGCAGGCTCCTGGGATGTGCTGGGAGACCGTGATGCTCTTGCTGCTGCTCATTTTCCCAGCATTTCATTCCAAAGGACCTCAAAATATGGATCTGTTCAAACTCCTAACATCCAATGTCTCTCACAGGTGCAGAAATGATCCCCAGGGTGAAGGAGGAACTCAGGGAGGGAATGGGATCCCTGGGTACCAAACACCCCATCCTGGCCATAAACCATCCACCAGCACTGGCAGTGAAGGAGCCATGAGCTGATGGACACACTGGCAAAGGCCAAGCAGCAATGCCAGTCATGGAGATTTCCCAAACTGCAGCTGGGAAGGTGACCCTGGTGCTGTGGGAGCAGCACTGGCTCCATCACTGCCACTGTCCTTGGTCTGGGTCATTTCTGCAAGGGTGGAAATGTCCTGCATGGTGTGGACAGGGCGAAGGGCAGCCCAGGCTGTGTGTGACAAAGAGATGTGGCACTGTGATCACACACAGTCACACACAGTCACACAGATCCGGCAGTGCAGCCCCAATGATTTTTTTCACATCACTTGTCTCCCCTCAGTTCTCACATCTGTGCTGCTATGGTTACCGAGAGCCTGAAAGGTTTTAAATCTCCCTCAGAGCAATGGAGGATTTCAGAGTAATCTTGTTAGGAGATGAGCAATGAATATTTCCAAAGGCCTTTTGCATGGATAGCTCGTTCCCTATGAGCTTATGGCCTCTGACAGCAGGGAAAGCAGAGCGGGGGGACTGTGTGCAGGGAAGAGAAGAGGCAGGGAAGGATGAACAGAGGTTTGTTTTCCACTGCAGCCTTTTGTGCCCAGAGTGATGTCCCTAAATTCCATATTTTTCAAGGCCGGCCAGCATATAATGGCCAGCAGGCTGCCAATATATATAAAAAATAAGAGTATTTCAGTCTGTGTTTCCCCCAGGGCAAGACTCACAGGGCCTTTGTGGGCACTTGGAGTTGGGGACAGCCATGGACAAGTCCTAGAGAAAATCCCTGCACCCCATGAGCATTGGTCTGCAGGGACCCATTGGGATGGAAAGCAGAGCTGAGATGGCTCGTGGCTTTCACAGGGCTATGGATCCTTCCCCTGTGGGATTTCATGGTGCAGGTGGAGTGCTGGATCTTGCACCCAGGGCATGTGCTGTGCCCGTGGGGACTGGAGCATGGCAGGGCAAAGCCTCTGCCAGCACTGAGCTGGAGTGTGCCCTGAACTGTGCCCATGGGAGAGAGGACCGTGATGCCCCAGGAGGCAAGGGCATGAGGAAGGGAGGGAGGCAGAGAGTTGCCTGCAAGGGAGCAGGGAAAAGAGCCTTGAGCAGGGCAGGGAAGAGAACAGGCAGTAGGAGGAAGGATGAAGGGATGACAGCAGTGATGGGCAGGAGCTGGGAAGGAGCACGAGTGAGTTGGGGAGTGGGTTTGGGGCATGTGGAGTTACACATTCAGCATCCACAGGCAGGCTGGGAGCAAGAGGCACTTGATGTATGTTTGTGGTCATTGTTACTCCAAACCCAACAGACATGGAGCAGTGGGATACCCCAGGGGGTGCTGAGGGATGGTCCCCAGGGTCCCAGTCAGTGCTGGGGTGCTAGCAGAGCCATGAACACCAGTCAATCCCAGCCTGAGCACAGCCCCTGTGGGCTGGGGAGCCTTTGACAATCAGGAGAAGGCAGTTAGGGACAGAATGATGGAAAATACTGTGTAGGCTGCTGCTTCCCACCATGTGCTGGTGGGGAAGAGCTGGGGCATAGCTCCAGATGCAGGGACCAGGGAGGCACAGAGACAAGGACAGAGGAGGGGAATGGACCCCTGCACCTGGAAAAAGCCAATTTCCTAATGTCCTGAAAAGGTTTGCAATATCTTTTACAAACATTCATTCTTATTTCACTCACAAGCTTATGTTTGGTGCCTTAAAGTGACTGAAGGGGAAGCCAAAAGAGCACACAAACCCTTCCCACTGTCCAAGTGCTCCCCAGCTCCACTGCTGGACACAGCTGAGCTGTAACACAACTTGCACACTTCAGGAACAGCCTGTGCTGTGTCTGGATGTGTTTTCAGGGAGCTCATATCTCAATTCTCAGCTGTCACAGTTCAGAGGGGACGGAGGCTGCAATGTTCCCAGGCACAGCACTGGAGCTGCTGGTGCTGGGCACTGCTCCAGTCCTGGACACAGTGCTCCAGTGACCTGTGCTGCCCAGCAAGCAGAGCAGGACTGCAGGTCACACGTGGTGATGGGAGCCATGGCCTTGCCCATTGCTCAGAGCAGTGGAGCATCATTTAAAGTGTGGTGATGAACAGTTTGCAGCATTATGACTCATTCCCATGAGCCTGGGTCAGTATCTGGAAGCTTCTGGAGCTGATGCAGTGCTGACCTCTGCAATGGGGTGCCTGGAGCCCCCACCGCCCTGTGGCTTTGCACCCCATAACAAGACACCGTGGCCACAAGAGCAGCCTGTACATACAGGATGCTTCTACCCCATGTCACCTGCTCGTTCCCCTGCCTCCTGCTTCTTCCCATGGTTAAATTCATGGTGTACGTGAGAGCAACTGCGTTCTCAACAGGGTTTTCCAGCTTTCCAGCTGAGATGGTGAGAAGGAAGTGGGCAGTAATGAGGAGCCCCAGCAACACTGTCAGCACTGCCTGGTGTGTCCCCAGCTGCTGTCCCTCACTGCAGGCCATGGCTGCACAACAACCTCGTGGGGTGAAGCTTCTCCTACCAAGAATAAAGCCTGGATGGGAGACCAGGCAAAAACAGGAGAGGGGAGGAGAGGGCTGGCAGTGACATGCCTGTCTGCTTCTGCTGCCAGTACCAAGGTCAGGGAGACAGGTCCTCACCCCAGCGTGGGGACATCCAGCTGCACCAGAGAGAGTTAAACCTGCCTCTGCCAGAGATTAAATCCAAATGGCCTT